TCAGGCGTGGTTCACCAGAGTTGCAGCGGCAGTGATGGGGGGGCCCACACTCTCCAGCTGAGTCCCCACAGCAGTGGAGATGGAGATGGGAGGGGCTGCCCTCCACACTGTTCAGCTGGGCTGCACCCTCGTTCTTTGTCCAAGAGGAGTGAGACCGACTTTTCCACTCTTAGTTGTGTCTGTCTCTTCATGGACCAGGATCTTTGTTGGGTTTGTTCTAGACTGAAAACCATTACTTGTAAAGGCTTTGGCTTTTAGTGGTAAAGTCTTCATATATGCATTTGTTGAATGAATTAATTGTGAATCACTCCATCATCTAGTAAGGTAGACACATAAGTCAACAATTATATGGCAACTACTATCACTACCACTATTACTACTATTCTGGAGCTCTTACTGTGTGCCAGGTCTTACACATATCACATTATTTGATCCACCCAACAACCCATGGGAGAGGAGCTGTATTTCCTATCCTTATATCCAACACAAAAGAAAACAAAGCAAAACCTTGAGGTTTAGAGAAGTCATCTTTCCAAAATTAAATGGCCTAAGAGGATTTAAAATCCTGTCCTTCTGATACTAATGCCCATCCTTCCTTTATTTCCAATTTCTTTGAAAGGCACTGAAGGGCCTCTGACTTGAGGGCATGTACTCCAGGACTCTCTGAGAAACTCTAGAGAATGCATCCCAAGCTCAGCCCTGGTAACAGTACAACCCACTGTACGAACACTCAGGGAGCTGCCTCCTCCTATCACAGACTCATTTATTTGACTTGATGAAGAACTATAGGCCTTTTTACCAGAGATATGGGAATTATTCCCAGTGAGGAGCCATTTGGAGTGACACTGGGGCCACTAAGCCAAGTCCTCAATACTAACAGTAGTTTTATTCTACCTAGACTAAGGACTCAGCGATGCCCTCTCAGCCTTCTCTCTTGATTCCTGCCTCCTTCAGCATTTAAGGGTAACAAAACCTCATGAGAAAATTATGGCACTTCAGCAGTGTGGGTAAGGCACCAACCTTCCAGTACTAGAATTTAGTACTACTCTTGGGCCAACCCGTTGGACCCAATATGAGCTACGCTGGCCGTGAAATATTCTATGTGCACCCAAAATATGCAAGAGGCATTAGCTGCTTTTACTATCAATTCTAAAAGCATAAGTTTCCCTTGGGGGAATTAACTAAAGACAGAACGACTGGATGGAAGGGGGAAAAGTCACTAGTGTCTTTGGCCATTTATTCACTCAACAAACATTGACACCTGTGCCAGGTTCCTAACTAGAAGCTGATGATCGGGTTCGGGGAAGAAACAGTGGTTCAGTAGGACTATGCTCTGCTGTGACATCAGACAAGGGCAGTGAGTTAAACGCAAAACAGGCAAAACCACAGCTTTGGAGAAACAAAGACTACAGCAGTTGCAAAGGGGGAAGAGAGAGACTCAGGACTCAAACTGGGTTAGCTCCTCAGGGAAACAGCACTACGACAGCAGGAAAGTCTGGTAAGCTGAGTGACTGGAGCAAGGGGCAGGATGACACGGCCTAAGTGGGTCTGGTAGGAAGCATTTGCGGAGTCAGGCTTTGGATATGGACTTTACATGGTAGTGCACTGAGATCCACTGAAAATGTTTATAAAAACTACTTACATACCACAAAATTCATCCTTTTAAGAGTACAGTTAGGCGAGTTTTAGTGAATTTACCAGATTATGCAACCATCCCATGATCCAGGTTAGAACTTTTCCCTCACCCTAGTTAAGATCCCCCCTGGCCAAAATTTACGGCTAATCCCCATTCCCACCTCTCCCACAGGAAACCATTTTATTTTTTTTCACTTCTACTGTTTTACCTTTGCAAGACATTTCACATAAAGGGAATCATACAATGTGTAGTTTGTTGTTTCTGCCTTTTTCACCTAAAAGTGTTTTTTAAATCCCTCCATGTTGTAGCGTGGTATTAGTGTTTCATTCCTTTTTATTGATGAATAGTGTTCAATTATATGGATTTGCCACATTTTACTTTTACTTTTTGATTTTCCAGTTAGTACATCTGAGTAGCTTTCACTATGGATTTATGAATAATGCTGCTATACGGGAGGCACCACAATCTGAGATTTCAAGTTATATTACAAAGCTACAGTGACAAAAACAGGATGGTACTGGCACAAAACAGAGAAATAGATCAATGGGAGAATAAAGGTTGTAGAAACAGCTACAGGCACATTCTACTACCTGATCATTGACAAAGGGCTAACACACACACTGAAGCAAAGATAGATGCCTTACAAAGTGATGCTGGAAAAACTGATTATCCACGTGCACAACAGTGAGTCTAGATGCCTATCTCTCACCATGTACTAAAGTAAAATCAAAATGGATTAAAGATCTAAGTGTTAAAACAGAAACAATCTGCTGGAAGATAAAAGGTAAAATTCTAGAAGGTATAGTTGTAGGCAAGGACTTTCTGGACAGAATCCCAATTGCACAATCAACAAATGGCAATATTTAATTAAAAATCTACACAACAAAGGAATCAATTAGTAGAGTGAAGAGACAATATACAGAATGGCAAAAATTATGTTCCACTATTACTTAGGCAGAGGACTAATATCTAGAATATATGAAGAACTCAAAACTACTAGATCCTCCAAAATAAAAGACCAAGTCAAAAAAAGGGGCATGAGCTGGACATGATGGCACACACCTGTAATTAATTTGGGAGGCTGAGGCAGGAGGATCATTGTTTGAGACCAGCCTGGGTTACAAAGTGAACTCAAGGCCTGTTGAACTGCATAGCGAGACCCTGTCTCAAAAAAAAAAAAAAAAAAAAAAAAGCAGGGAGGGGGCCAACAGAAATGTATAGATACTTCTCAGAAGAAGGAGTACAATTGGCCAGTAAATACATGAAAAAATGTTCAACATCTTGGATTGTTAGACAAATGCAAATGAAAGTGACACTGAGATTCCACCTTACTCTCTAAAGAATGGCTATCATCAGGAAATCAAATAATAATATGCTAGTGAGGGTGCAGAAAAAAAACCCTTCTAATTTGTAAGTGGAAATGTAAACTAGTATAACCATTTGAGGCATGCTCAACTATTTCAAAGAAAAGAGACATTATAGTAGCTACTGTTGATATCCGATTGTCTTGTGAAGTGCTGTGTTGCTTGCATTGTTTTGTTTTGATTTGCTTTGTTCTGTTCTCTTTTGTTTTATTTTCTTTAAAATAAAAAAGTTAAAGCCATCATATTACAGTGGTGCTATGTCTGCATGCCCATGTTTACAGTAGCATAATTCAGAAGAGCTAAGTCTTGGAAGCAGCTTATATGTCCATCAACAGAGGAATGGAAAAAGAAAAGGTGCTGTTGACACAACAGAGCACTGCTCTGCCATAAAGGGTAAATGAAGCTTCTGCAGAAAAATGGGTGCAGCGTGAGACGATACTGGTAAGTGCTGTAACTCAGACACAAGCCTACACAGCACGTGGTTTCTCTTATGTGAGAAGCACGAACTGTAAATAAAGAGCAAAATAAATGATAGACAATAGGAAATAGGGAGAGCGTTTGTGTATGGGAAAAGGACTAAGGGATGGAGGGGGGACGGGAAAGAGAATGAAAAACAATTGAGATGTGTTATGTCCATGTACCAGCCTCCCGTGAGGAATGTAATCATTATGTACTGCAAACATGTACTAATGAAAAGAAAAATTGAAAGAAAAATAACGTTGCCATGGACACTCTGTGTATAGGCCTTTACTTTCTCAAGTAGGTAACTAGAAACAGCACATTGGGTTTCACAGTAAAGTTAGCTGGGTGCTGTACTTATTTTCCTTTTCAAAACGACTCTGCTGAAATATGGTTTGAAAGTTGATCTGTTTTAAGTATATAATCCAATGAGTTTTAGAATAGTTGCAGAGTTGTACAATTGACACAACTCCGATCTAATTTTAGAACATTTGTATCATCCTAAAAAGATATGTGTGTCTATTGATGATTGCCCTGTATTCCCACTTCTAGCCCTGGGCAACTTATAATCAACATTTATTCTCCATTTATTTGCCTTTCTAAACATTTTATATGAAGTGCATTGCACAAAATGTAGTCCATTGTGTCTGGTTTCTTTCAGTGGGCCTTATTTAACAGACACCCCTGTTGTACAGTGTTCAATAATTCACTTCTTTTTATGGTTAAGTAATATTCTATTGTGTTCATTTATTTTATTCACTCAGCGGTAGATGTATATTGGGTTGTTAACACTTTGATGTGTTATAAATAAAACTGCTGTGGATATTCATGTACAATTTTTTGTATGAATGCATATTCTCATTTCTTTTGGTTTGACGCTTAGAAGTAAAATTTCCGAGTTATAGAGCAAAAATATATTTGACCTTTTAAGAACCTGAAGACTTTTCCAAAACAGCTGTACTAATTTACATTTTCATCAGCAATACACAGGGGTTCTGCTGTCTTCCTGTTTCCTCCAAACAATTATTGTTTTCTTTTTTATTATAGCCATTCTAGTGGAGATGAAGGGAATCTCACATCGTTTTTATTTGCACTTAATAACTAGTAATGTTGAACATCTTTAAATTTGTGTTTTACTTGTGTGAAGTACTGTATCTATTCAAATCTTTTGCTAATTTTTAAATGAGTTATCTTCCTATCAGTGTATTGAGAGTTCTTTATACATTAGATATATTATCAGACATGTGATTTGCAGTTGTTTGCTTCCAGTCAGTAGATTATATCTTCATTTTCTTAATGGCTTCTGTTGAAAGATTTTTGAGGGGAAAACGGAACAAGAAAAAGCCATGCTTTAGGGAGATGTATGGCAGGAGTAATGGGGTAGATCAAAGGGAACAGAAGGCTCTTTTTGTCAGTTGTAACAAAGAGAACAGCTTTCTTAAAATCCTCCAGGAATCAAAGGGTTATAACAGCTCTTTATTGAAGTCTGTTAACAGTCCAGTTAATCAGTAAACCTTTCAAGAGGTTTTCCAGGATTGAGGGAGGAGGAGAAATGAGTGTGAAGAGCTGAGTGGCTGGCTATTCAACAGCTACAGAACTGATTTTCGGCATTGAGAGTGACAATCCTGAATGCCCTTGCAGGTGCTGTCACCCTCTGCTTGCTGGAGGAAAGCTAGGCAGACCTGGCTCTTGGCCCCTCAGCTCCTGGCCGGTAAAGAGGCTGATTTGGAGAGCAGGGGCACATGTCTGTTGCTCTCTTTGAAGAAACCCGGCAAGATGTCAGACCTGCTCTCAGTCTTTCTGCACTGTCTTCTCCTCTTCAAGCTGGTGGCCCCTATGACCTTTCGTCACCACCGGTATGACGACCTTGTGCGGACCCTGTACAAGGTGCGCAACCAATGCCCCCACATCACGCGGATCTACAGCATCGGGCGCAGCGTGAACGGGAGACACCTCTACGTGCTGGAATTCAGTGACTTTCCCGGGACTCACGAGCTCTGTAAGTCCTGAGCAGCTCTCAGAGGGCCAGAGCAGGACGTTCCCTTACCAACCCAGTAACCGAAACTGTTTCTACAAGGTTTATGGAGCCCTCCACATTTAAAATACGACTTCTCCCTTAATTTGGGATGTCTTTCCCTGTTTCTTGGTTCTGTTTGCTTGCTACATAAACAGTAGGAAGAAAACGTTCTTTATTGTCCCCCTCCCCAACTCTCTTTCTCCCTCTCATTCCCGACTTTTTTTCTTGTTAGTCATCTTTCAGTATCCAATGGCTCTGAAGCTTAGGAGAAATTATTAACTCTTCTGTTCTGCCAAGAAAGAAGGCTTCAAGAATAGCTCTCCTGGGAATGTCTGTATGCGAAAACATGATATCCTAGAGAGAACTGGAGAGATGGGTATTCTCTACAGTTATTGGATTCTTTTTGTTATTGTTGTTGTTAATTTACTCCTCTTAACAAAACAGTTCATGTTTGGTTTAAAAACTAGAAATTAGACAAGAAAAAATTCACTAATAATCTCATAGGTAACCACTGTTAACATATTGAGTTATGTCCTTTCAAACTTAATGCATACTTTATTGTTGATACTGGGATCGAAGTTACAACCTCACGCTTGCCAAGCAGGCTATTATGTTGCTGTACTGAATCCCCAGCCCCTAAATGCATACTTAAATCTATTTGTCTTACAGGCATATTTTTGCATAAAAACAGAATCATACTATAATTGCTTTTCTCCGTTCACAGGCTGCTGTGGATAACACCAGCGTCTATAAACCTAGACCCACTGTCGTTTTTGGCTGCATTCTATCTCATTGTTGTATTAATAGTTTATATGGATGGTCCTTTGTTTCAAATTCCTGCTGCTTTACCTAGAGCCTTTGTGACATTCAAGTTGTATCAGTTTCTCCTTCAAACAATCGACCTCAAATCACTCTTTTCTTCTCACTTCTGCATCCCAGCCCTCACCAGTGTCCATCACAGTGGCCCTAAACTGCTGCACTAAACTCTTAAAGCATCTCACTCCTCACCGTTGCCACCTCTGACCCGTCCTTTTGGCACACAGATGCCAGGACAATTTCCCTATACAATGATGTAATGTTCTCACTCTGCTTCAAAAACCCAGTGTTCTGTAATCTGGCCACGAGAGCTCAGAATGCTGCAGAGGAAAGGCATCTGCTTTTTGTTGCTGTGGTACTTTCTAGCATTCAAGACCTTCCTTGAAGCGTTTTCCACACAATATCCCTCATCAACTCCTCTTTTCTCTTTTGCCGTTCATTCATTCCTTTCATTCAGTCATTCTACAAGTATTTACCAATCACTTAATATATGCAAGAACTTTTGTAACTCTAGAAGTACAGCCAAGAATAGTACAAGGACCTTTACCTTATGAGCCTGAATTCTAGTGGACTAAAACTGTAATAAATGGGTAATTAAACACATACGACGTCAAATGGAAGTACATGCCATAGCAAAAAACTAGTGGGAAAGATACGGGAGCTGGGAATGCTGTGAGGTCAGGAAAGGCTTCGCCTCGGGGCGGCTCCCAGAAGCTGGGACAGGAGCACACCATGCTCACGTGGGAGCGTGGGGCCTGATGGCAGGAGGAAGAGCAGGTACAGCCCTCCAGGAGCCAGAGCCTGCTTCGCCCACATGAGGGACACTGAGGGGGACACTGTGTCTCAGCAGAGCGGCCAGAGGAGAACAAGAGAAGTGGTCAGAGCCGGGTGGCCGGGGGTGCCAGGCAGCAGGAGCTCAGGTGGGGCCTAGCATGACTTTGTAAAGATTTTGGCTTTTACTTTGAGTAAAACACGAACCCACTGAGAGTTTCAAGCAAGAGAATTACATGATCTGACTGAAATTTTTAAAAGATCACTTCGAACAGAGATCCGCAAACTGCAGCCTAAGGCCAGGCACCTGCTTTGGTGATTGTTTTATTGGAAAACAGTCACACCTGTTTGTGTTTGCTTCTACTGAAAGTGCTGGAAAGAAATGTTGCTCACAAAGCCTAAAGGATTACTAATCTGATCCTTTACAGAAAAATTTTATAAATCCCTAATTCAGGAGAATAGACTAATACAGCTTGGCAGAATCAGGGAGACCTAGGAGGAGACTTGTTATCATGATTCAGGAATGAGGGTGAAGGGACTAGAACCAAAATGTCCGTCCACAGATGAACGGATAAAGACAATGTGGTACTGATGCACCGTGGAGTACTACACTGCCATAAAGGAAGACAAGAGTACGGCATTGGTAGGAAAACGGGTGCATCGTGAAGCTGCAATGTTAGACACACAAGTTTAAAAATTGCATGACTTCTCTTACATGAAAAGCCCAAAATCTAAATAAAAAGATAGATAATAGGAGATCTTTTTCAAATGGAGAAGAGAGCAAGAGATCAAAGGAGGGGAAGAGAAGAGATAGAAAGGGAACGGAAAAGAAATTGGAAAAAATGGAGCTTTTGCAAATGGGAAGAGGACCAAGACCAGGAAGGAGCAGGGAGAGAGTAGAGGAGAGGGAACAGAAAAATAATTAGGATGTATTATGTACATATTCTAACTATGCACAGTACATGTAATAATTATGTACTATAAACATGTACTAATCAAATAAACTTTTTAATTAAGGGATTGAAGGAATCTAAAATAACTTTTCCTCATTTTATTTTACTGAATAAGGCTATGAAGAAAACTACTGGCCATCTACTATCACCAACCTTTCCTAAAAGGAAGACATTTTAACACCAAGAAAAATAAGTAAGACGTAACCCAGCAGTGGTGAACCTATGGCATGTGTGTTGCAGCCAGCTGTCTGTTATCACTGAGAGCTCTGAAAGGTTCGCCATCACTGATATAATCTAAGATTAAAGAATACACATTGTGGAAGATCTACTAGATGACCCATGTTAGCATTCCAAGCATTCCTTTGAAAAAGACTGTTGTATGAATACTAAGATACATAACAGTAGACTGTGTTCTAAAGAAAATTAAGAAATAAATATATTTCTAAAGCCAGGTCCAATAAGGGAAATAAGGCGCATCAAAAATAGTCTTTAAAAATGGTTAAAACGAAGAGCGGAAAGTGGTAAATTCCATAAAAGGAAAGTCCACAGAGAGCTCACTCCCAACAAGGCGAGCCCAAGGCAATGTCACAGAGGAAGAAACATTTGAACTGGGCTTACAAGGATGAGACAGAGGATTTGGAAATGAGATGAGGAGTATAGAATTAAAAAAGACATGGAGACAAAAAAGCATTGGGTGGGGAAAAGGCCTCTTGGCAAGAGCTTCTCTCCTTCCTTTTAAAAGGGAGCAAATCGGGATGTGATGTCATATGCCTGTAATCACAGCACTCAGTAGGCTGAAGCAGGAGGGGGCTGCAAGTGTGAGGCCAGCCTCAGCTACCCAATGGTTCCAGGCCAGCCTGCACGCCATAACAAGACCTCATATCCAAAAAAAAAAAAAAAAAAAAAAAAAAAATTTATTTTAGATTAGTAGATAAAATAATTAAATGAAAATATACAGGAGCAAAAATGATCTCTGTTAAGATGATCAAGGAGAAGAGTAAGTATTGTGACAAAATAAACTCCTCCTTATTCTGTGCCTCAAGACATAGCCTTCTTGGATGTGAAGGAGGGAGTTAAGTTTCCTACATGCCAGGAAAATTAAGTTTTTAACCAGAATGACCAGCAGTTGTTAAACATTATCACTGAGATGACTTTATGAGAGAGGTGCTGTGCAAATACCATCCTTACCCCGAAGGGTTTGTCTGTGAGAAGCAGGGTGCTAAGGTAAATAGCACAGCCACTGCTAGCTGGGCTTTGACTTCTATTACATTCATTATCTAGAAGCCCTCAGTCCTATCACTTATTCTCTTCTATCCCTAATTCTTCTTCACTCTGAGGCTAAAAGCGCCTACTTCCCAGGTTTCCTTTGAAGATGAGCAATAATAAACAGCAATGCACGATGGAGGTTGAATTACTGGTAGTCATTATGAACCCTGGCCAGAATTCTTGGAACTTTGGTGATTGCAACTGGTTAGGAAGGGCTCAAGCGCTACTGGCAAAGACCCAGTTAAAGCCAGAGATTTCCCCTCGTTATTGAATGGATCTGAGAAGATCCTTTTGCAAGATCAAAGTCAATGGCACATACAAACTTCCCCCACCTTTTCTTTTTCTGCCCGTGCATTTCTTCACTTGCAGTGGAGCCAGAAGTCAAGTATGTGGGGAACATGCATGGCGACGAGGCGCTGGGTCGAGAGCTATTGCTGCAGCTGTCACAGTTCCTGTGTGAGGAGTTCCGGAACCGGAACCAGCGCATCGTGGAGCTCATCCAGAGCACGCGCATTCACATCCTGCCATCCATGAACCCAGACGGCTACGAGATGGCTGCTGCCCAGGTATGGAGAAGACTAAACTCTCATCCCACCAAAGTAAAGTAAACCCAGTGCACAGTACGCTCCCTGCACACTGTAAAATGTCAGGGAAGGCAGGGGTAGACCAACAGAAATACAATGAAGTATGAAGAATTTGGCTCCCTCCATAGCAGCTTAGGCACCTGTGGGCTGGGCGGAGCCTCAGTGCTATGCAGCCTGATCTCAAGGTTTTATTGTGAGGATCAGTGAGCCATGTACATGGCAACACTTTGTAAATTGGAAAATATTACCCAGATCAGATGTGAAAGGATACTGTTCCTGAGCCATATCATTTCCTGGACTTTTACTTTTGCACTCTAAATATCCTTCTTCCCACACTACCTGTCTATACTTGTATATGGGTAAAATACCAAGGAAAGCACACTTGCCTCCGATTTGAGGATGGGGAATTGTCAACTTTCCTATTATATTTCTGAAGGGTCTGTCCATTTACTAACGTAGTAATAAGCTTTCCCATCTTTTTTATTTTGGAATTATATCTACAGTGAGACAGAGAAGAAAAAATGTCTATGGATTTTTACTTGTTTCCTAACATAAATTCAACATGTCACTGTCTTTAAATCAATGAATTTACTTTGTGGTTATTCATCAAAGTAATCAGTGAAGATTTCTGAAATACAGATTCCCAGGTCCTGCCCTAGAGCTACTCAAGAGTAAAGCCAGGCGTCTATCTTCCTTATCACAATAGATATGCTTCTTCTATTTATTTATTTATTCTTTGGTACTGGGGATAGAACTCACGACCACCTGCTTGCAAGGCAAGTGCTTATGCCGCTGAGCTAAATATGCTTCTTTTAAAATCTATATTTAAATAAGGGCAGGGGAAATGAGGTGATTAAGCTAACGTGTATTTTAAAGTTACTTGAAAATATAGCTGAGGATGAGTGGAGGCAGAGAAAACTAGGGTGTTGACTCAGACACAAATTTGACTCTTGTAATCTCACAATTTCCTGCTGAAATGATTCAACAAATGAAAAAAGAGAACGTTGCCCATCCCCGGGAATCAGAGAAGTGCTCACTAACGTGCTTCACTAACATGAGCTTTCCAAAGAGCAGGAACTTGGAGAGGAATGTGGGGGAGGACCCCGCCCTGCTACTTTCTTTCTTTAGCTTTCCCTGTATTGTAGTGAGGAAACTGGAAAACCAGCTCATCTTTGTTCACATCCTTTGCAATACAAAGAGCCAGAGAAACTGGGGAAGTTCCTCGCCAGTTCACCATATCCTAGAGCCATGCCTGGAAGCCAGTCTTCTCTGCCCTCCTGGCATATTCTTGTTCAGAGGGCACACACCTTGAAATTGAACCTGAGAGGACCCATCAGGTTTTCAAACACCCCTGCTGCCTTTGCCCACTTGAAACCCGTGCCCACAGGAAACCTATCTGCATGATTATAAAATGAAAACAAACTTTAAAGTCCTAAGTAGAAAAGCAGAATAAGCCCCCCTCAGATGTCTGCATCTTAATCTACAGAATGTATGAATTTTTTATGTTACTTGGCCAAAGAGATTAAGGTTTCAGATGAAATTAAGGTTGCTAACCATTTGACTTAAAGCATCCTAGATAATATGAGTGGACCCACAATAATCAACCATAAAGGTGCTTTACATGTGGAGGGAGGAGGCTCGAGGTCAGATTCAGAGGGAGACTGGAGGATATATGCTGCTAGCTTTGAAGATGGAAGACGTGATCACAAAGCCAGGAATGTAGATGGCCTCTAGAAACTGGAAAGGTCAAGGTGCAGATTCTCATAGAGGCCTCAGAAGAAACACAGCCCTGCACTTTGATTTTAGTCCTGTGAGTCCCATTTCACTCTTCTGATCTCCAGAACCATAAAGATAATATTTTTGTACTGGTCAAAGCCACCAAATTTGTGGTAATTTGCTACAGCAGTGATAGGAAACCATTATATCACCCTCCCTGCTTATGGGAAATTTGTATCATGGGAAACTTGCTTTAGGGGAAGCCCCACCACACTGGCAGTGCTGAGAATGGAATTCAGAACTTACACATGCTGGGTGAGTATTCTATCATTCACCTACAACCCCAGGCCTAGGAAGCCGCTTCTTGCCAAACTGAAGACCAGTGTGTGTGACAAATCAGCTGATGAAGTCCATAGCTGTTAGTACCAACAGGTAAGAGCTACATTGCTAAAAATGGGCAAGCAGCGAAAACTCCTGGAATGAAGAAGAAAATCATCATGTCATAGAAGTGTATGTCAAACTTAAAAGTCAGATAAATGGTTCCCCTGGGAGAGAATTGATGTAGGAAGTTTAAAGAAACTTCCTACATTCTTAGTGCTATCTACGAATAAAATACAAGCAGGATGCATGATAAAAGGAAAAATCTATAAACAATAAAGATTTCTTAAGGAAAATCTGAGCGGTACTGCATCTGAGTTTTCAGCCGCCCAGCATCGATTCACTCACTCTTGCAGGCACAGACAACAACCTGAGCTCCACCCTCTCAGTTCACAAGGACGCACTGGACTCCGGTGCCCTTCTCCAGTGCCACATAAAGCATTAAGTGGCATTTCAATTTTGAATGGGCCTCTTTTCTACCACCTTCTATCTTTAACTATTCACATCTATATTTATCTCTGCATGTATACTGTGAATGCCTAGAAAGCTAGACTAATGTCCCATTTAGTTCTTTTCCTAATGTCTATTACCTAGTTTTGAATTAAGAGAGACTTAAGTAAATGTTGGATGATGAAATGGCTGACTAAACAAGTGAAAAAAATACACGAGCAAATAAAGATAAAATCTGATGTATGAGCAGAGAAACTAAGGAATTCAGAAAGTTGACACTTCTCAGAATAAATGCAAGGATCCTACACTCTTTAAAAATGAGGAGGAGTCAGCATGTCCCAAGAATCAGCCATGCTGGAATTTAGGGGACCTACCAAAAAAACAGCTAGCCAGCCTTCCCGGCAAGCAGCACGAGCCTCGGGCACACCAGTAGAGAATAAGTTTGTCTCCCGTGAGCGAGCGTATTGGCATGTGGGCCGAGAATCAAATGTCCTGTGCGTACCTCCCACCCCATTAGCTGCTGGAAGGTTTTGAGGTCAGCCACAGTTGATAGCAACTAAGGTACCTAAAGCAACTAAATGCTTGTTTTGTTTGGTTGATTGTGCTGACCTGGGGCCAGAGGCCTGAGCATTTCTTGGGAGGATGACAGTATGCAATACAGCAAAATGGGGGATTTCCTTCTATCTTCTCTTTGAAGGCCAATATTGTTTTCACTGTTTTGCTTTGTTCTGATTGTTTTTCTCTATTTAGTATTCTGTTTTGGTTGGTTTTATAGTGTTCTGGTTTTGGTTTGTTTTTGCTATACCTGATTATGAATATTATGAAGATAACAAGATACACTATGGTACCTACTATTGTTATCCCAGTATCCTGTTCTGAAGTTCTATATCAATTTCACTGCATTGTCTCGATTGGCTTTGTACTGTCTTGTTTTGTTGTATTTTGCTATCTTTAAAATAAAAAATAAAATAAAAAGGAGGAGATAGGTTACCATGGTGCAATCACTGTGGAAAACAACTCAGCAGTTTTTTTAAAAAAATTAACATAGACTCATGTCCCAGCAGTTCTCCTACATATGTATGCAAGGGGAGAAAACCAAATCCACCCAAAGATATGTACATGAATGCTCATGGCAGCATTGTTCATATTATCCAAAAAAGTGAGAACAACCCAAATGCCCTTGTGCTGGGCTGTATAGGTAGCCCTCTCCGCCATGCCATTCCTGCTCATCTGGAACCTGTGACTGATCTTATTTGAAATAGAACTTTTGTAGATATCACTAGTTGAAGTCAATGAATTGGGGTGAACTCTAAATCTAATATGATTGATGCCTTTATAAGAAAGGAGTTTATAAAGCCAGACACAAAAACACTGGGGAGAAGGCCAGGTAAAGATGAGAACAGAAATTAAAGGAATGTACATGAAAGCCAGAGGTTTTCCTGGAATCACAAGAAACAAGAAGACACAAAGAGGGAGCCTTTGAAAGCATCACTCTGCTAACGCTTGAATTGCAAACCTCTAAAGCTGTGAGAGGACAAATGTCTGTTTTTAGAGGTTCTTACTTTGTACTAATTTGTTATAGCAGCCCTAGAAAACTAATACAACCTGTCACCTAGTGAATGGATAAATAAAATGTGACAAATCCTATAATGCAACTATTTATCAACAAAAGGATAAATGCTAATGCATACCAGAACATGGCCAAATTTCAAAAACTTCAGCACACTGGGAGGGAGGGGTGGGGAGAACACATGATATATAGTCCCACTTATGTGACATGTCCAGAGGAGAAAAGTCTGTTGAGATAGAAAATGATAACCTAGGGCTGGGGTGAAAAGAAGGAGTAACCAAATACTAAGATTTCTTTTTAGGATGGTAAAAATGTTTAAAATTAGATTATGACGATGGTCATACAACTCTGTAAGCATACTAAAATCTGTTGAATTGTACGTTAAAAACAAGTGAATTTTATAGTAAGTGAATTATATCTCCATAAAGTTATTCTTTAGAAACAAAGATTTCAGACAGGTATGGTGGTGCATGCCTGTAATCCCAGCTAAGGCAGGGGGATCACTGGGAGTTGGAGATCAGCCTGGGCTATGTAGTGAGTTCAAGATCAGCCACAATTACAGAGCAAGATTCTGTCTTAAAAAAAAAAAAACGCAACCACAATAACAAAAACAAAGGTTCCAATGATCTTGAAACACCCCTCACTTGTTGGAGCTCTTCCTAGGGTCTCTACCTCTAGAATCTGGCCTTCAAGAAAATCAGAAGCACCACTGGGTCTTTGGATAAGTGCAAGAAGAAAGTGCTGCATCACTTGATGGATTAAAGTAATATCTAAAAGAGATATACAGTGTTCTTTGAATATAAGATTCATTTTTCATCCCTTCAACTTTCTCCTAGGGCCCAAATGCATATGGATATCTCATTGGCAGGAATAATGCAAATGGAGTGGACCTAAACCGAAACTTCCCTGACCTCAATATCTATTTCTACTATAATGAGAAGTACGGAGGCCCCAACCATCACTTGCCTCTTCCAGACAACTGGAAAAGCCAGGTAGGAGATTAAAATTTACAAACAGGCCAACTAAACCAGCATCTAAAAATTCTCACAGAAAGATTGCTAAATAGTCTTCACATTAAGTAAACAAACAAGAAAACTGAGCATTCACTAAACTCTGTGCATTTTTCTAGAACAATAATTGTGTCTTAGTCATTTTGTTGCTGTCCTTGCTGAGACAAGATACCCATCACAAAAAGTTTAAGGAAAAAGGATTTATTTTGGTTCACAGTTTGTAGAGGTTTCAGTCCACAGTCAGCTGATTCCAAGGCAGAGTGGTGTCACAGAGGAGAAACAGTTCATGGCAGGGCAGACAGAAGACAGCAGCAGCAAGCAGCGAAAGTAGCAAGTAGAAAGCAGCAGTAATAGCAACAACAGCAGGAGGAGGAGCAGTAGCAGCAGGAGAAGGAGAAGGAACTTCAGCAGGAAGAGGAGGAGGGGCAGCAGCAGGAGACGAGAAGGAGCAGGAGGAGCAGCAGCCGAGGAAAAGGAGGAGGAGCAGAGGCATACCTTCTTTGTGTCCCTTTGTACTCCATCCAGGCTACAAGCCTACTGATTGGTGTCACAGTCATGGTGGGGTTTCCTTTATCCACACCCATAATCCCAGTGTCACACCCTTAATCCAGCCACATTTAAACTCCCACCTATGACCACATGGGGCTTTTAGATCTTGTGCTGTTTTGTTATTCTCTTTGCTTATTTTCTCCCACAGTGTAGAGCCCTCCAGGAATCACCTGCTCACATTACTAAATGTTTGATGTTAGTGGTAATGGTGGTGAGGAAAATGAAAACAATATTATATAACAGTACTTAGCAATGTCACCAAGTCTGTCTCTCTGTTTGACTCTCTCTTTCTCTCTCAGTTGTTACTCACTGAACTCAGGACCTTCACACTGAGCTATGTCTTCAGTCTTTTTAATTTTTTTTTTTTTTTTTTTCGAGAAAGGGTCTCGCTAAGTTGTCCAAACTGGGTTCATACTTGTAATTTTCCTGCCTTAGCCTCCCTGAGTGCTGGGATTGCAGGTGTGCGCCACCATGCTGGCTGCATGAAATTTTTTTACGGCTGGTGTTTTAGTAGACCTTCAGTGTGGTAAATGCATCGATTAGTGCTGTCTATATTTGTTTTATAGATATTACATTCATAGATAAAATATAGTGGTTCCTCCATTCATGCACTTAATTTGCTTTATGATTTGGGGGAGAAGGCCGCAGTTCTGTTTGTGTGGGGAAGATGGTTGTGGTTCGGTTACCTGATGTGGAGTTTGTGAATGAAAGTAAATTGTCAAATGCTTCTGTTTGAGAACCAAATTATTTGTGAACTGAGGCACCTGTAATTGAAATCCACATAGCTAATAATTAATGGAATTAGGATTAAAATTTGAGCCTTCCAACTCTGATTTTTTGTTTGTTTGTTTGGTTTGTTGGTTAGGGTTTTTTTGTTGGTCAGTTTGTTTGTTTTTTGAGACAGGGTCTCATGTTGTAGGGCTGGCCTTGAACCTGCCTATACAGCCCAGGCTGGCCTTGAACTCAGAGCTATCCTCCTGTCTCGGCCCCTTGAGTGCTGACTTCCGCAGCAGCCTTTCAAATCTTAGTCTAACACCCCTTCTACTACACTAAACTGTTGACAGAGGACACAAGCAGTCTACAGAGAAGTTTCTCTTAATTATGGTAAACTTGATATGTTCATAGACAATTAGCTCTAAAAAGAAGTTCAGGAAGTCTAACCCTTATGGATTTTGTTTTGTTTTTTACCATTATAGTTTTTTACTTTTCTCCAGCTGTGACACTCAACACTGTCCCTGCAGTCCCCTTCTCCATAGGAAGATGGGGCATTCACAGCTGACCCTGGGTCCAGGAGGAGCAATTGACAGCACATAACCTCTGAATGTCCATCCTGAAAGCAGAGAAAAATCACTGAGGACTGTAAATTATTTATATACACTGCAAGCGCAAGTGGATTCAGGACTTTCCTTAGATAACTACTTAATATATTGTCATTCCTCATAAAGTTTCCTTCTGAAATAGAGTTCTATGAACTTAATTTTTGTAGCCAGCATTCCAAAGGTTAAAATTCCCTAGCCACACTTCTCCTACAGGTAGACTCTTGGCCTTTTTCTGCCTCCTCTTCCTGACAGAATTAGTCCAGCAGACATGGGGCAGCTCCCTTTCAGCTTCCTCACCAGGCTCTCCTCTGGTCTGTCACAGGTGGAGCCTGAGACCCGGGCGGTGATCCAGTGGATGCAGTCCATCAACTTTGTTCTCTCGGCCAATCTCCACGGCGGAGCAGTAGTGGCCAATTACCCCTATGACAAATCCCTCCGACATCGGCTCCGGAGTTCTCACCGCCCAACTACTACTACCCCCACGCCTGATGATAAGCTTTTCCAGAAGGTATGCAGGATGGCATTTTGTCCTGTCCGGGAAACTCGGGACTCAAGGGACAGGCTTCATACCTCAGTGACACAGGACCCCCTTAGTGAACAAGACTACAAAAAATAACATAAAGTACCACTGCTTGTTGGAGTCTTACACTTTTGTAAATTACATTTTTCTCTAAGTAATAAGCCATAAATTCATGAAAAAATAAAAGGAAAGCTTTCTACTATCATTGCAACAGTGTAAAAAAATACTTAAAGCTAATGGCAAACAAGAAATATGCCAAAGGACTGACAGTGCTATTGGTAAGCTAATGACTTCTAAATGTGATTTTGGGGGGATCGGATCTACAATTTTATATATATATATATATATATATATATATATATATATATTTTTTTTTTTTTTTTGTCTTTTTCTTTTTTATTGGTACTGGGGATCGAACTCAAGACTGCCTGCTTGCAAGGCAGGTGTTTATGCCACTGAGCTAAATCCCCAGCCCCCTACAATTTTATATTAATATGCCTATTTAATGAAAAAGAGACCATGCATATGAAAAAGATTTAAATAATAACTTGAAACAATACAATATTAATGTACATACTAATTTTATATCCACAATGTATTAAATATACTTAATAATATAATAAACATAATTATTTTATAATAAAATGTATCAATTAAATTATAAAGTTATATATCACAAGGGGCCGGGGATTTAGCTCAGCAGCATAAGCTCCTTCCTGGCAAGCTCAAGATCATGAGTTTGATCCCCAATACCAAAAAAAAAAAAAGTTATATATCATGATATGTGTAACTAAATCATAAGATTATATATCATGATATATTAATATATTAATATATAGTTATATATTGATATATAAAGTAACAATACTGAATTATATAATTGGCATATAAAATATCAATATATTATTATATAGTAAATATTGATATTCATTAATGAATTATACAAGGAATAATACCAATTATTTTACTAAGCAAGTATATTGTATATTATTATATTTTTTTTCCAGGAATCTCATTTCACCCACTATTATAAAAAAGTAATGAATCTGAGTAGGTGACACACCCTACAATTCTAGCATTTAGGAGGCTGAAGCAAGAGGATAGCCAGATCAAGACCAATGTAAGCTACATAGCAAGGTCAAGTTAAATGTGGACTCCATAGTGAGACCCTGTCTCAAAAAACAAAACAAAATAAGTAGTGAAAGAGAATTACAGAGACAATCTTAACATGTTCTTCCAATATGTATCTCTTGCTAGCCAATAAACAATACTACTGCTTTACTTGCTCCTTGATTTCTTATGTAAAATTCAACTAGAAAATGGTCCAGTTAGAAGGTACTGCATCATCTAGTGCACCCTCCCTTTGCATATGAGGAAACAGCCCTGAGTAAGTGGAAAAATCAAAGTGCAGGTCCCTTAACTCCAGCCCACATACACATCATATACACACACACACACACACACCAGGCTTATTCTATTTGCATACACACACACATACCCACATACATGCTCTTACACACACATATGTACATACTGTCTGTCTATCCTTGATCATATTACCTTCTACTAAAATGTAGAATCCATTGCTTCTTGGCTTATACTCTTCCAGTGCAAGCATTGCCATTTGAGTTGGGAATATTTGAGGTTACTTTGTGCTTGTTTTCCTTCTAGTTGGCCAAGGTCTACTCCTATGCACATGGCTGGATGCACCAAGGTTGGAACTGTGGGGATTATTTTCCAGATGGCATCACCAATGGGGCTTCCTGGTACTCTCTCAGCAAGGGTAAGGAGTCCACAGAACTGCTCAGCCTTAGGTAGAACAGAGCCCATTTGTCCTTCTGAAGGACTAGTTTTCTTGAGGAAACAATGGGACTAGTGCAGCATTTTATACTCTTGTAGAGATCGGAAAACATGGAAAAGTCTCAGACTGACATTTGGTATCATCTTGTGATTCTTTAAAACAAAGTTAGAGACACATTGTGATCCTATAGATCTGATTGTTTACACAATAGATTAGAGCATGGAAGAAAATACATAATGGTGCCAACTGGTGAAGGGGGAGGTTAACAGTAAATTGGAGCCAGGTGTGTAGTGGTTCATGCCTATAATTCCAGCACTTAGCAGGAGGATTGTCATGAGCTACATAGTGAGTTCAAGGCCGGGCTGAACTACATAGTATGACCTTGTCTCAAGAGGAGAGAGAGAGAGACAGACAGACAGACAGACAGACAATTTGGTTGAAACCCAGCTTGCCCACTTATGTGGCATTGGACTAATTAATCTCCCTGTGCTTTGTTTTCTCACCTGTAACTTAGAATAATAATACTTGCCTCATAATTTTGAAGGTTTAAATAAAACTGCACATGTAAAGCATTTGGAAATACCTGGATTATAAATGTTAAGTTTTTAAAAGTAGCATAAGGGCTGGGGATTTAGCTCAGCAGCTTAAGTGCCTGCCTGGCAAACACAAGACTGTGAGTTCAATTCTATAAATAAATAAATGTAGCATAGAGTATGCTTCATAGAAAACAGATGACCAAAGGAGCTGGTCTGAAAAGATCAGTTCTTCAGCACTCTTAACTGCCGCCTCCATAGCAGGAGTTTGCCATAGACCTTGGGCCTTGATAACATAGCCTCAAAGAGAAGAGAGCTCCAGCAAGATATTATTTCTATGCCTAGGCCTTGCTTATGAACAAGGTCAAGAAAAAAACCTCTGACTGCGAACTTTTGTCAGATAGAGAGCCCAGACATAGACAAAAAGAGGCTGAAGTAGAAAGTTAGATTTTTTTCAGAAATTGCCTGTCTTTCCCCATCTTCTCAAATCTGAACTGACTTCAGCCCAGAAGCACATTGGTGAAAGCTGAGGTGATGGCTGGGCCTGTGGAAAATGGGAAGGAACAAAATTAAGGAGTCACCATGCCTTGAGAAGCAACGAAAAGCTCACTTGAACACACGGCAGGAAGATTTTTGTTATACACTAATTTCTTTAGTTTGTATTAGTAGAGCGACATATACACCCTCCATACTGAAAACACCAAATACAACTTTCCAGATTACACTTGTTCTTTGTTTTCTGTCGCCCTCTTCTCTCCTCCTCATCCTCTGAGAAAGCATGACCGATGCCCCTAAGGATGAGCACTCTAAATTAAGCTGGTAGCATTCCAAGAAGATTCGGTTAATCAAAAATTATTGCTGCAAGAGTGGTCTTTGGATCCTCAGCATCAACATCACCTGAGAATTTATTAAAAATATGAATTTTGGGGCCCCTACCCCCACCCCAGACCCACTGAATCTGAAACTTGGGGGTAAGGCCCAGCAATCTGTTTCACTATATGAGGCTCAAACTTCAGGTGATTGTAAATGTAGTGCATTATAATTACTGTTCTCCAACGTTTCCCTGTTTCTGTAAAGGCTGCTTTCTTTTGTCTGCTTAAAGAGCAAGTGAAAATTAGTTAAACGGATAATTATTTTTCAGTTTTATGGTAAAACACATGATGCAAAGTCTTCTATCTTAAGTATGCAGTTCACCATTACCATGTGCACAGTGCAGTTCAGCCAGGACTGCCCATCTCCACCAGAACCCTTCATCCTGACCCCGGTCCCTGGCGACCACCTTTCCACTTCTCATAGTTATGATTTTGATGACTCTGAGCTCCTCAGAGAAGTGGAATCACACACTATTTGTCCTTTGTGCCTGGCTTATTTCACTTAGTGTGATGTTCTCAAGGTTTATACTGTGGCAGCAGCTGTCAGGACTGCCTTCTTTTTGAAGGTTGGATAATGTTTCATTGTGTATATGTGTTGCGTTTTGCTTACACACTCATCTATCAGTGAACACTTGGGTTGCTCCTACTTTTTGACTGTTGTAAGTAATGCTGCTATGAACATGGGTGTGCACTTCTCTTTGAAACCTCACTTCTACGCTTTTGGAAATATTTCCAGGAGTAGAATTGTTGAATCATATTGTAATTCTATTTGTATATTTTTGAGAAATTACCAAACTGTTTTCCACAGCAGCTGCCCCATTTTATATTCAGTGCACACACTGATTCGTGGCCTGTTGGCTAAGATCAAGGGTATATTTAATGCACACAGGTTCCAGTGCTCACCAACACTTTGTTTTTTGTTTGTTTGTGTGTTTATAGTCACCATCCTAATACGTGCAAACTTGTATTTCATAGTAGTTTGAGTTGCATTTTTCAGTGATTAGTCCTGCTGAGCATCTTTTATGTGCTTGTTAGTCATTTGGAGAAATACCTATGTGAGTCTTTGCTCATTTTTTAATAGTTTTTGTTTCTTGTTCTTGTTGAATTTTAGTTCTATATACTTCTATATTAAGCCATTATCAGATACTTTATTTATAAATGTTTTCTTTTGCTCCATAGTTTGTCTTTTTACACTGTTCTCTTTGGTTATACAAAATTTTTCAGTTTTTCTCACACCCAATTTGCTTTTTGTTTTTTGTTGCATATGCCTTTGGTGTCAGACCCTTGAAGTCACTAACAAGTCAATATCATGAAGTTTTGACCTATGTCTTCTTTAGAAGTTTTATAGTCTTAGTTCAGGTCTATAGTCCACTTTAAATAAATTTTTGTACATGGTGTTATTAGAGTCCACCTTCTTCTCCTTCTCCTGCTTCCTCTTCCTTTACTTCTTCTCCTTCATCTCCAACTCCTTTTTTTTTATATGTGGATGTTCAGTTTTCCCAACACCATTTGCTGAACACTATGCTTTCTAATTGAATGGTCCCGGCACCTTTGTCAAAGTCACTTGACCATATTCACAAGAGTTTCTATGCAATTCCATTGGTCTACAGTGATGCCTTGGTTCATGAATGAATCTGTTCACAAACTTTGCATTGGGTAACCAAAAAACTTGGCATTTGGGGACAAACACAACCATGGGCATCTTCCCCAAACAAATACAAATGCAGCCACTGTCTCCAAAACCATAAAAAAAAATTAAGATTGTAAACCAAAGTACCACTGTATTTGCAAATCTTCATGCCATGCTCTTTCCACTATTATACATTTGTAATAAGTTTTAAACTCAGGAAGTGAGTCTTCTACCTTTGTTCTTTTTTGAAATTAGTTTGGCTATTTGGGGTGCCTTGAAATTCCATATACATTTTAGGGTAAATTTTTCTATTCCTTCAGAAATAATCATAAGGATTGCATTGAATATGCAGATCACTTTGGGGAATATAGACATCTCTATATGGATATTTTTTAGTTCAAATGAATTTGTAATGTAAATGCCATAATACTCAGAAATGTTAAAAATAGTATCCCCAATTAAATAATATAGAAGATCAGAGCAGTCAGGCCATTGGCGAACAAAAAACAAAATACAGCTGCCTTATGCTTTTTCATGAGTTAGTTGCTCTGTGAGAAGTATTTTCATATTAGTAGTGTGTTCTCAGTTGAGGTGAGGAATATGAAAGCAAAATATTAATCACATCTGTAACCTCCCCATCCCAGGTTTGAAGGACATCACAGTTTAAAGAAAAAAAAAATCTCTCAGTATTTCTTCCTTAATGCCCATTTCATCATCTACATTTTTTGTTTTTCCATTTCATGATTTAATTTTTGAAGTCACCTTATTAGCTGGACCTGACTATTACGAATATGCACATGTACTGCTTTTGGGGGAAGAGGTTTTATTTTTCCTGGATTACATAGCAAGACCCTGTCTCAAAAAAAAAAAAATGAAGTAGAATAAATGATGAAGGTAATGGTGTGAAATTATGAGTAAAAAGAGGTAAGATGAGGTTGGATGAGAACCTATTTACAGAAACCTGCCAACTCCCTTTCTCCCCTAGGAATGCAAGATTTTAATTATCTCCACACCAACTGCTTTGATATCACACTGGAACTCAGTTGCAATAAATTTCCCCACCAGGAGGAATTAGAACGGGAGTGGCTTGGTAATCGAGAAGCCCTAATCCAATTCTTGGAACAGGTAAAATCTCACTTTTCAGCTTTCATGGTTGCAAAAAGAGAAGTGTCCTTTAGTAGCAGGCTAACTTTTTTGTGTAGGTTAAGTCTGATTTTGCTCTGACTCAATGCATTTGGATTGCTTCTACCAGTGAGATTTAGTCATTCAACATGATTGAGCACAACTATGTCAGAAAATTTACTGTAAGGTAGAAATTGAGTAAAAAGCACCCTTATCCATATAGAGCTGATGCTTTATTGAGGACAGACAATAAACAAAATTACAGAAGCTTTATAACATATTAAAGGAGAAATTCTAGGAAGAAAGCCTTACTGAGAAGGTTCCTTTTAAACAGAGATTTCAGCGAGTTGAAGGAGAAAATAATGAAGATATCCAGGAAAAAGTTTCCTGGATAAACAACACATAATGGAAATGGATAAAACAACAAACATAAAGACAACAATAGGCACATGAAAAGATACTTAACCCTAGAGAAATGCAAAGCGAAAGCACAATGGCCACCACCTCACCCCATTGGGATGGCTGCTATGAAACAACATAGAGACAACCAGTGTTGGCAAAGATGTGCAAAAATCACAACCCTTGGATCCTGTAGGTGGGAATACAAAATGGTGCACCTGCTTTAGAAAACAGAGTGATGATCTATCAGAAAATTAATAGAACTATCACAAGACCCAGAAATACCACTTTGGGGTATGTATCCAGAAGAAGTGGAAGGAGGGTGTCAAACAACCATTCACACATCTTTGTTCGTGGCAGTATTTTTTTTCAACAGCCAAAAAGTAGAAGCAACTCTATTGGTAGATGAATTTATAAAAATGTAGAGTATGCATACAACAAAAACAAGTTCTTATACATGCTTCAATGTGGAAGAATCTTAACATTAGGCTAAGTGAAGTAAGCCAGTCACCAAAAGGCAAATACTATATGATTCCACTTACAGGAGGTACTTATAATAATCAGAATCATAGAGACTGAAGGTGTAATGAAGGTTTCCAGGGCTAGGGAAAGGGGGAATGGAGAATTACTGTTCAATGGGTACAGAGTTTCATTTTTACAAGACAGATTCTTGGAGGTTGGTAGTGGTACTGATTGCACATTGTGCATAAATTTAATAACATTGAACTGTATACTTAAAATGGCTAAAATGGTACATTTTCAGATATTTGTATAGATGTAGTCACAATTAGATTTTTTTATTTAAAACCTTTCAACATCAGCAAAGCATTGTGGCTGGACTGGGAGTGGATTTCCAGGACCGGGTTGCCTGCAGGAACTTCACAGACTGTCTTAAGAATTGTAGCCTTTGTCCTGAGTGAATCAGGTCTTGAACAGGACAATGACATGATTTGACTTAGATTTACAGAACTGCTCTTGCTGTTCTGTTAAGAAGAGATTATTGGGTCAGGGTTGAGGGGGATACACCAGTGAAGGAGCTGTTACCACCTTGTGACGACTAAATGTGAAATCAGGTGAGAATTGGCTTTGAGACCCTAAACACAGTATATGTTTTATGATCTTAACTCTGTAGCATTCACTTGCTCCTACAGGTTCACCAGGGTATCAAGGGAATGGTGCTTGATGAAAACAATAATAATCTCACAGGGGCTGTCATTTCTGTCACTGGGATTAATCACGATGTCACAGCAGGTAGGTGGGCATTGCGTGGGAGTGGGAAGGGAGTTCTCCATCCTCACCTTCTTCGGCAGAGCTCACAGGCCAGTTTGTAAGATGGTGAGACCAGCAAGGACAGAGCCTGGGATGGGGCTCAAAGGAAGAAAGGAACCCCATACATAGGGACAGTAAATTAAGGGGCTGGAACCGGTCACAGAGAGGCAAGGACCAGGGAAGAAAATGTAGCTGTAACTTCTCATTAGAATCTAGGAGTCACTGCCGTGTACAACTTTGATAGAAGTATTTCTGGGCTGGAAGCTATTAGAGGCTGACATGGTCGTGTGAAATGGGGTAGAAAAGAGCAGACTGTAAAACTCATGTTTGGCCTTGTCCCTGACTCAAGCATTTTACTACATGTATATTCAGGAAAAATTAGAAAGATTGGTTTAAACGGAGTTGGTGCAGGGCAAGATTGATGGAGGCAGATCTTGGAGCTACCTGGAACCTCCTAGAAGGGTACAGCATTTTGTCTTAGTTTCTTCATTGCTGAGACAAAATATCTGACACCCAAAATTAAAGGGGTAAGGCTTCTTTGGTTCAGTTTGTAGAGGTTTACAGTCATCGTTGGCTGGCTCCAAGGCAGGGTGGCACGGCAGAGGGGCATTGCAGAGGAGGAACAGCTCATGGCAGGCAAAAGGCAGAAGATAGCAAGGCAGCAAACTACAAGTGACAAGCAGAGACTCTCTTCCTGTCCCTTATATTTTATCCAGGCTACACACCCTTAGGGCAGGAAGCACTCACACCCAGGGCAGGGCAGCCTTAATCCTAGCATCACAAATCAATCCCAGCATCACATTGCTGACCCCAATATCACACACCCGAGATCCAACCACCTCCGAAAAGCCTTTCCTATGACCATATGAAGTTTTGGGGAGAAATCTAGATACAAACCATAACAAATGATCTTACAGAAAAATGGTACTGCTGACTGACAGCTCAAATTGATCATGCACAGTTCTTAGGAGTTTGGCTTGTTTGTTTGCCTTTTGGTAGTGGGGATTGAACTCACCACCTCTCCTTTGCTGGTCAGGCACTTATGCCATGGGCTAAACCCCCAGCTGTTAGTTTTTAATGTCTAGCAGCAGCTACCAGAGGTTAGGGGTACTGAAATTTCCCTAACTCCTCATGCCTCAAGCCAGCAAGTTTCAGCCATATTTTTACCAGGCATATATTTATTACTAGGAAGGTATCTGTTTATGCTGTCTAAGCTAGAGGAAATCTCTGCTTTATGTTCTTTAAGGGAAAGAAAATATTTTAAAAACAGAATCCTATATCCTACAGCAGTGACGGCAAGTCTGTGACATGCGTGCTGCAGCAGGCTGTTTGTATCATTGAAAGCTCTAAAAGGTTCACTATCACTGGCCTATAGGCATCAGACAACCAGAATCCTCCAGTCCAGTAGCTGGGTCCATGACTGTCCAGGAATCAGTCTTCAGGCACTATCCCTAAAAGCAGAGGCATCAGGGCTCACTAATTCTCATATTCCAGTAAAACCAGGACATAAGAAATTAATAAACATTTAATTGTCTCTGAAACCTTTTAACCACCAGTAGCAAATGCCACTGATTTCATCAATAAATGCTCACTTAGCAACATTTATTGTGCTAAATTAACAAGTTTACTAGTGCAATAATTTATTTCATAGTGGAATAAAAAGACTATTGGTAGCATTCATTATGCTGCCTAGCAAAGCACTCAGTGCTGATCAGAGACAAAAGAGAGCTGTTGGATCCTCCTCCTCCTCCTCCTCCCCCAGATGCATCTAGAATGGAGCCTTTCTGATGTCATGTTAACTACTCGTAAGTGTGAGCCCTCAATTAAGAAAATAATAGCCCCCGGGCTACAACTTAAACAGCTGAATACATGCATAATAACACACTGCCTATGCCAAAGAATTTTAAAGTAAATCACTATAGACCTTTGATAGGCAGTAGAAAAAAAGACTTCCTCATTATTGCCTGCATCATTCTTTATTACATTTATTATTGCAATTATGTATTATTGTGCACTTAAAGGAAAATTTAAAGATTCCACAAGAAAAGAAAGTCATTAGCCAAAATGTTGTATTTCTGCCATAGAGAAATAGGCTTCTTTTCGGGGATTTAGCTCAGTGGCATAAGTACCTGCCTTGCAAGTGTGCGGTTGTAAGTTCGATCCCCGGTACCAATTAAAAAAAAAAAAAAAAAGAAATAGGCTTCTTTTTGATTTGTATTTTACCTTAGCATACTTTTGAAGGTAATGGAAGAGATATTAAAAATATGATTCTCCAAATCATGCCTTTAGGAAGCATTTAGTCCACTACTCCCACTGAGTATAAAATTACATTTTATGAATACCACCACTGACCACTGGTTGTCCAGCCCAAGGTTACCATGGCCACTGGTACAGGCTGTGCACGGCTCAACTGAGCAGCTTTTCCAAGGCTTCTGATTCAGCCTCGGCTCGAGTGCTCCCAATTTTATAAAGCATTTCACTTTTTCTCTAGTAACTCTGTTTAGTATAATAGTTTCTTCTCTGTCTAGCTAAACCTGCCTCCTTGCAAGTTAAACCCATAGTTCTCATTCTTACTTAACTAGGTAGACCATTCAGAGTGGCTTTGCAAACATCAAAATAGAGGTGTCAAATTATTTCCTTAATTAAGTGAAGTATTACCGTTAACCTTTCCTCTCTTCTGTGAACCTCCACTGGAAATGAGTTTGTATTAAAATACAGGGTCTAGAATGGAACGCAATTCTTTCAGCCTAGAGCCCAGATCTTCTTCTTTCTAAGAAAGAAAGTGTTCCCATGAAGGGCTGTTCTTATGACTGTTTTAATACTTTATCAGTTTCATCACACTGTTAGGAAAAACCAAGCTTGTGGTCAGCTAAAATGTCCAGGTCACTTTTCAAATGAAGTTTCCATCTGGGGCAGGTCTCTGGCCAGCAGACTGAGTTATGCCCTTGTAACTTTAGGTGAACAGGGTGATTACTTCCGGCTGCTGCTCCCAGGTACGTACACCGTCACAGCCACAGCACCTGGGTTCCACCCAAAGACAGTGGTGGCAACTGTGGGTCCTGCAGAACCAACACTGGTGAGTTCGACTGAGTTGCACACGGCATTTTATTTTATATTTTTTTTATTTTAAAGAGGGTAAAATTAAACAGAACAAAACAGATCATGAGGAAACAATGTTAAGAAACAGATATTTCAAAGCAAGACCACTGGAGATCTTCATATTGTCTCTTGTTTCCTTCCAAATAGTTGTCCACATCCTCACACACAGTGAATACATACTGAACAATATAGCCATTGTTGACTTCCTTATTGTCTGGTCTTGAAGCACACAGCATTTTAGATACCACTTCCACCATGTTTTCAGCAACCAGTTGCGTAGTCTTTGCCGAGCTTCCCCCCATTCAGCAGTAAGATGGAGTCTCTCCTGTCTTCAAATTTCTTTGGTCACTTTCCCGCTCTATCCTGTACCCTTTGGGGTTTTCCTCATTTTTCTGTTTAGTACAGCGTTGAAATTAAAAGCACTGTCTTGTTCTAAATCCACACATTTGCTCACAGAACTTGGATACACTGCCCAATCGCTTACCCTTAGTTTCTTTCTCAGCAAACTGGGGCGCATAGTGCTTCTTTTCCAAGAGGTTGAAAAGAGAAAGCGCGCATTCAGCATTTAGCAGTGACTGACACGTAGCAGACACTGAACGAAGGTCAGCCTGTAAATCACGGACCGCTGGCCCAGATTCACGCGGCTCCTGCCGTTGTATTCCTTGTTGTCATCAGAAAGCGCTGTCACCAGGTGGCGCTCTGCGCCCTTCAAGCGCCCGTGGCGCGCTCTTGGTTTTTGCTCTCTGCTCCTAAGAGCCAGCAGCTCCCCCCTTCTCTGTGGCTGTGAATAGACAGGGTAAGAAACCAAGAATCTTCTTCGATTGACAGCCTGAAACTTTTCACTTTAGCTTATAGTAGAGTCAAATCTCAGAGCACAAAGGGCTCAGAGGTCGTGTACACTACTGCTTAGATTTCTCAAATGAGGAAAATAGGTGTCCTACGTAATGTGCCTAGTCTACGACCTTATTTCCTAAGCCAGTGCTTTCCCAGGCCCCCTCATTCTGTCCTCTTCCATCACTGACAGGGTGTGGCAGGCCCTTCCTCTCCCTTCCTTTAGCAAAGGCAAAGACACAAAGCTCACCTTTTTAATTACAGCAATAGGAGCTATTTATTGCATAGATGCAATGTGTCAGAGTCACTGTGTGGAAGCTTTCCAGAACTACATCACTGAAGCTCCACAACACTATAAGGTAAACATCCCCATTTGTCTCCAAGGGGCCTGAATGTTAGAGAAAATACGAAAACTGTACAATATAGCTCGATGAGAAAGTGGTGGGAGCCAGGAGTGGTGGGAGCATGCCACGCTCTTCAGGTTGCCTCCTGAAATAATGTTAATGTGTCACGGAGTCACAGTCACTATTCTTATCCCTTACTTTTAACTAAGGTCAGGGTAAAAAAAATTAAGTCATCTGAAAAATTTTCTGAAATAGCACCTCTACTGCCAACTCTTACATATTACAAATTACTTCTGTGTGCAGAAGCAGGAAGAAAAGAGTAAACTGTGAGCTGATCCAACTTCCCAACCAGTCATCCTTTTCCCTTTCTCCTTGTGACACCCAAAAGTCAAGTCACTGGCAGGTAGCTGGATGCAGGAACAACTAAGAATCTGCTTATTGATTATAGCAGTCTATGTCTCTCCTCATTCTAAAGCAGATCGCCATCTGGCAAAGAAAGGAAAAAAGATTGTTTACTAAACAGATTTCATGATCCAATTTCAGGCATGTTAAAACAACTCCCGGAGTCGGTGGTCTCACGGTCTCACTGCTTCTCCCCATCACCTTCTGTCTGTTGTGGTTCCCTTGGTTTTCCCGTGTCCTTTCCTTTCTCTCTTTCTCTCTCTCTCTCCTCCTCTTCTCCCTCTCCCTCTCTTTCTCTTCCTCTCTCCCTCTGGCACAGCACTGTGGATTCTAATTCCCCCATTTCTCCTCTTAAAGAAATAGAAGAACTGGCTGTAGATTTTTATAGAATGGACAGGAAATAGCACGATAGAGAGATCTCTCAGCAGAGGCTTGTTTTTAAGTCCCAGCTGGCTTCAGCAGCTCAAGCTGTTTCAAAGGCGGGGCAGCAGGCAGGCCCCAGGGGAGTGTGGTGAGAACACTGCCACTCCCTCTTCTTCTGCCTGGCAGGGCTCCACACTGCCCCATAAATCCATCACTCAGAAGCATCTTTTTATCTGTGTGCCTGGCCAGAAGGAAGACCTCAAGCTGCCCTTGAAAGGATGCACTGATGCACATGGAAGTTTAGGGTCTAAAGATCCATACCAGCAATCCATGTCATCTCCCTACCTCTGTTGCCAGGCAGTGTGGCACAGGTGAGGCACTCGTTGGCAGGCCTGAGCAGAACCACTGTGACTCACACAGTCAGCACAAAGGAGCTGGGTATTAGGACACCATCAATCATAGTTCTTGTCCTGGGCAACAATATTAGTGAAATCGTGATTTTAAAGGTATAGAAATATTTTTTCTAATGCAAATGAAATAAGTGTATAATTCATTCCCCCAGCCACAGCCTACGCATCATTAGTGAGTTTGCACTGCTTTGGGGAAGAGTAGTAGTCAAGTCTACAGGACATCGCTGTGCTGCTTTGGGTCACTGCTATAAGAATGCTTCCCGATCTTCTGCCTCAGAACCTGGACGTGTGGTGAGAGAGACTCTGCACCGACCTCCAGCTTCTGTCTTTTCCTTTTCAGGTTAACTTCAATCTCAAGAGAAGAATCACACAAGCGGACGCTGGAAAGAGAACTCCCATTGGGGGTCAGGGAGGCAGAGTGAAAGCCCAGCCCCGGACACCCAGAAAGAAGGACGCAGCTGTGAAGCAGCCACATAGAGGCCCTGCCTGAAACCCGAGGACCCCAGGGTAGTACTTCACAAGGGCTCTGCTCCTGCTTTCAGATCCCTTAGGGCATGCTTTCTGGTTCATTATCTGGTACATATTTAAATATAAGCCTATTCAGACTAATTCAGAATGGTCTCAGTCTGTTCCAGGGCAAGCCATGTCTAGGGTGTCATTAAAGGAATCAAAAGCCAAGCGTGATGGCAAATACCTATCATCCCAGCATTCTGGGAGGCTGAGGCAGGAAGATCACAAGTTTGAACCTAGCCTGGGTAATTTAGCAATTTAGTGAGACCCTGTCTCAAATTTTAGAAAGGGCTATGGATGTAACTCAAAACAAAAGCCCTGGGTTCAATCCTCAGTACTGCAGGGAAAAAAGATTGGTGTGGGGAGTGAAAAATGGTAGTGTTGTACGTATATCCAGTAGGATTCAGGCACGTTCCTGGTTCTGAGAGCCTGGTTTAGGCCCTAGCACAATGCATGCATCGGGTTCAGCCTGATTGGCCACTGTGTCTCCAAACTCTAACACAGAGCAGGTGCTCCATGAAGATTTCTAAATGATGAGCAAAGCTGAGATGATCTATCATCAATATTATGCCCAAAGTAAAATTCAATGCTCCTGAAACCCTGCAGATCATCTCCACAGTAGCCAGTAGTTTCCTAGTAAGAAAAGAATTTGACATGCAGCATTTGGCATCTTTCAAGACATTTTGTGTGATGTAGATGTACAACACCCATGGCTCATGGGAGTTTGGCACTGTGAGGGTTTGGGCCCAGTGGTATAGAGTGCTCTGCACCTTGCTGCATTCCCCAGAATGAACCAACCTCTACTAAAAGCAATATTGAGGGATAGGGGTGTAGCTCAGTGGTAGAGCACTTGTCTTAAGCCCTGGGTTCCTTCTTTAGTATAGAATAAATAAATAAATGTTACCAAAGTAGATGTTACTACAGATTTTGAAGGGAGGCGTAGCCTCTCAATACATGCTTTGCAGCACACAGATTCAGAAATGTTCACTGAGTACTCTGGGGTTCCTTGGTCCCCTGTCTCCAGGGCTAGGTGGGGGTTCTGCATTACACACCTCCTTTTAGGGCTCAGCCTCCGTGCGCCAGGGCAGGCTCTGCTTCCCTCACCAGGACCCCTAGTAGCCCAGCTCTTTCTTACTGCTCAGTGGTTTGCACCTCTACACACACATTTCCACAGCCATCAGAAACTCCTCTACCTGTCATCAGAACTAGGGTTAACACAAAATTTATTTTTCTATTACTGAACAATTTCTCCATATGCAATCAAAAGGAAAATGAAGAAAACAAGTCTTTCCCCCCTTAGAGAATTCTCTCCTGAAATTAAAAGATTAATCTTTTCTTTACCCTTTTTTTTCCTCCAGTGCTAGGTCTTTCGCATACTAGGCGAGCACTCAACCACAGAGCTACACCTCAGCTCCTTTCTTCTCAATCTTAATCCCATATTCCTTGGTTCTCTTCTTGTTATTATAAAGAAGCGAGTATTGAGGAAGTTCTTTTAAGTTCAATAAAACTTTTATATTTATGTAATTATTTATTTGTCTATCTATTTATTTTCTGAGACACAATCTTGCTGTTATAGTTTAGGCCAGCCTTGAACTCACTGTGTGGCTCAGGCTTCTGTTGAACTCTCAACAATCCTCCTGCCTCAGCCTTCCGCATGCAAGTATGCACACCACACCTGGTAGTTTAATGAAATTTTTTTCCTAAGGTGCTGTATATACTCTAGATTTCTCCAGATTATCTGTATGTGTATCAGTCAGATTCCCTTGTGAAAAGATACCGGAAAAAGCTGTTTAAAATGTGGCCCTGGTGCTTCCTCTGGTACAGCCACGGAGTTCCTTTGGTTCATCCTTTCCTTCATGCCGGAGATTTGAGTTCTTGCTCTCTAGGAATGCAAAGACCACAGACGACCATCCACGCACCTGGCCCCTCTGCCTGTGATTCCATTTTGCTTCCTTACCATGTGGTCACAGCCAGGGTGTAGGTGTCATGCCCTTGGGCCCGTCCAGCCACCACAGACATGACAGGGAAACTGCTGTACTTTATGAGCTAGCCAGCCTCAGGAATTCTCTTACAGCAACACAAAGCAGACTAAGACAAAGTTTGGATCACAAGTTAATGCGGCAAGGGTGGGCCGAGTTGACGGGACCTGAGAGAAGACCCCTTCACTTCCAGTTCAGCACTTTCCTGACTTATTCCTTTGACCGGCGCAGCCCCAATGAAACAGGAGACGCTTCAGGTGGTAACAGGAACTGCCGCTTTATTTACTTACACGGGCTCTGGTTTATATATTCGGCCTGACCAATCACAGGCTGCCACGAGGAAGCAGGGCGGGAATGGGACGCAGGCTCTGGCTAATATATCCAGCTGTGGCCAATCAGGGGTTGCCACAGAGTCGGCATGGGGCCAATACAGAGTGAGCACGAGGTGCGCATGGGTTGGCTAATTTAGAGAGGGATGTAGTGCATTGCGGAAGCTGGCGTGGTCTTATCGCCCGGGGCGGGTGTGTTGAGCGCCTGCGCCCGACATTCCTTCTTATTGCATATCTAGAATTTCTCACTCTGAATGCCAGCCTGGACAGCTGTTGTAAGCAGGTAGTAAATCTCTGTTAAAGGCAGGAGGTTTGGATTCTGACAGACTTGAATTTTAATCCTAGCCTGCTCCTTATTTACCACGTGACCCTCAGAAAATTGTTTATCTTCTCCAAGTCACTGCTACTCATCTGAAAACAAAATAGAAATATACGACTCACTGGGAGTTTTGAAGAATTAAAAGTGATGTACTCATAAATCAGTAAGGGTGGTGTGACAGCTTCTGTCCCCGCCCTTCTTGGAGGGTTATAGTGCCTCACTCAAGCCGGCCACCTGTAAGTTGGCAAATCTCACAGAGCCTCAAGCATGTGGGGTGCAACAGGGGTTTGGAAGTGGAGCAGTTTCTTGAGAGACTGTACCAAGCCCACATTGTCTTTTTTAAAATGTGTTAATCTCATTTACTAGAAATCCTTTTATTAATTCCTTATTCTTTTTGGCACTTTTTCTTCCAAGTCAAACATTTTATGACACAGTAATCCCCTTCCACTGAGGACACAGGGAAATTCTCAGTGTCCACACAGGACAACACCTGCTGCCATGTGGGCTTGCTGCGGGTTCCCTTGATGATTTCTGGCAGTGGGCTTCTGCTCAGGTACGACGTGACCGCCTGTGTCTTTTGTGCCCAGCATGCTGTTCAGTCCCGAAAGACAGAAAAATATCTTATGTATTTTCTGAGTGAATGATCTGCATTACTTTCACATTTTTCTCTTCCTTTATCATTTTTCATCTTTCATCTGGTATTAACAAGTCTGAGCATTTTTCTCACATGGGGAGTTTCCCTGGGGGCAGCTTCATAGGACCAACACTTTTAACCTGTGGGGCTAATGATAACTCCAGGTAGGTAGGTAGTGTCAGAACTGAATGGAACCATGGTCAGTGTCAGAATTGAGTGATAAGTTATGTCTAGGAGTTGTGGGAAAGACCACATATTTAGTGTTAAAAAGTGTTCTGTGGACAGGAAAAAAAGAAGCAGCAAGATGTATCATGCAGGCGTACAAATTCCCTATAATGAACGTTATCACTATGTACATTTAAAATATACCAATAAAACTTCAAAAAACTGTTCTGTGGGTAAAAGGGATCTAGGTGATAGAGCACTTACTTACTTACCTGATAAGTATTTGGGTCTCACTTCTGTGTTAAAAGAGAGAGACAGTGGGCAAACCTGAGTAACATGGTTTCTACCGTTTTGAAACTGGAGAGATTGGGAGGAAGAAATAAAAATAAAACATATTAATACATAAAAACATAAACAGAATTAGTATCTAGGAAGAGGTGCTGAGAGAGGAAATGGCGGGAAGATTTGAGATACGATGGTTAGGGAAAAATTATCTGAAAAGATGATGGTGGGCTGATAGGGAAAACACAAGAAGAAAAATAAGGTGAGCTACAGAAATAAAAATAAGAAAACCAGTTGTGGTGGCACATGCCTGTAACTCAGTACTTGGGAAACTGAGGAAGGAGGATTAAGAGTTTCAAGCCAGGCTGGGCTACATCGTGAGACCCCGACTCAAAGAAGCAAAGAAAGCGGGCATCGTGGCTCACGCCTATAACCCCAGCACTCAGGAGGCTGAGGCAGGGGGATCGTTGTGAGTTCAAGACCAGCCCAGGCTACAAAGTGAGCTCAAGGCCAGCCTGAACCGCATAGAGACCCTGTCTCAAAAAGACAAAAAAAAAAAAAGCAAACAAAGAAACAAAAAGACAAGGACATAATAATTTTAAAATTATAATTTTGACAAAACTGCAGCTTTAAGTCAAAATCAAAATTACCCAAGGTTACAGTGCCTTTTTGACCTTACAAACTCTTTTTTTTCTTCCAGGGTTCTCACTTCTAAGAGCCTTAACAATATTATAAGTGAATAAATTCAGCCTGTGTTTTTCTTCCAGTACCATCAATCTGGCATCATGTGTGGTACACTGAAGAGATGGATTCCAGATTGTTGTGTATGGCAAACAAAGAATTGCAAGATGCTAAAAGAAAAAGCAGCTACATTTATTGAAGTCAACAGAGACGGTGTGACTGGGTTCATGCCAGCAGAAGCAGAAAGGTGGCATAAATGGGAAAAGTGGTGCCCGGGTGGCAGGAGAATAAGAAGAATGAAAATTAATCAGGCTTTTAGATATTAAAAGAGATACACTCTGGCCTTGGGTACCTCTCATTGGATCTCTCTGAATATGATGGACAGAAATGACCGAGAGGGAGTAAGTCATCGTGGGCCCTTAGTACAGATGGTTCTCCCACAATGCACTCTACTTTAATAACATGAATGAGATGTGGTCCCTGTATATAATCTGTTAATGATGTTGAAATGGGGAAAAGATTACTAAAGTTCAGGCCATTGAATCTAACACGCATGTGCTCTGGCCTAGAGCTTTAGAGATTCCTTGGGTCTTTATTATTCTTTGGGACTGTTTGTTTGTTTGTTTGTTTTTGAGACAGTCTGGATATGTAGCTCAGGCTGGTGTTGAACTCCCCGTGTATCCAAGGCTGGCCTCGAGCATGGTGATCTT